AGAGAGTCCAGCAGAGGGCTACGAAGATGATGAGGGGCCTGGAGCATCTCTCCTGTGAAGAAAGGCTGCGAGAGCTGGGCCTGTTTAGCTCATCAATGTGTACAAGTATCTGGAGGGGGGTTGTCGAGAGGATGGGGTCAGACTCTTCTCCATGGTGCCCAGCAACAGGACAAGAGGCAGCGGGCAGAAACTGAACCACAGGAAGTTCCATCTGAACCTGAGGAAAACTTCTTGACTGGGAGGGTGCCAGAGCACTGGAACAGGTTGCCCAGAGAGGTAGTGGAGTCTCCTTCCTTGGAGATATTCAAAACCTGCCTGGATGCGATCCTGTGCAGTGTGCTCTAGAGGACCCTGCTTGAGCAGGGGGGTTGGACTAGATGATCCCAGAGGTCCCTTCCAACCTCGACCATTCTGTGATTCACGCCACATCAGTGATCTCCTGTTTTCAGTAGCCCTTTCCACTGGCTCATGCTTACAGAAATTCTGCTTGCTACAAACGTCGTGGCTATACCTTCAATACCTCCAGCCAGGGGATTTTTCAGCCCCATTAGAGCTCTCTGGGTTGTTTCTTCAGCACATCATTCTCATCCCACAACATGCAACTACAAATCTCTATCAAAGAACTCATCAAAGAGAGGAATTTTCTCCGTCTTGGTTCTTATAAGTGTAGGTTTGTGATAAAACTTCTTCTCTTCCCTTTCCCAGTCCTCGGAGTCAGTGCTGGAGCTATCCCAGAACAGGTCTCTTGTAGGATACTCCCGACAGAACCACATGTCAACTTTACTGCTCTTGCTTGGAGAAGATTCAGCCCTGTCCTGTTGCCCTGAGAATTGTCTATCCCATATATTTCCTTGGAGAGAAAAAAGAAGAAATATGTCTTAATTTTGCTGAGGTGCATGTTCAGTTCCATAGGGCTTAGCTGGGAATTGCTATGGGCAGCTGGAGTTGTGTAAAGAAGCCCCTGAAAGATCCCTGCCAGATCAACCCAGCTGCTCTGGGCTGGGCAGGGCCAAGCACAATATATTCAGGATTATATTCAGTGAAATTATGGAATCTGACAAAAGGAAGCATGCTTTAAGAGCTGACCCACAAGGCGTGGGAGGCAGGATTCCCGTGTTGCATGCCCAGGGAGCAAGTTCATATCTGAGATGCTTAAATGACTCGTAAGGTATCAGTATCTGAGTAGCTCGTAATCTCTAATGCCTTGACCGTTGCAGCATGCCTGTGACAGAGCAGTCCTAGGCTAACATCCTGCCCACCAGAGCAGCCTTCCTGCAAGGGCAAAGCAGCGCAGGCCTTTCAGGGATGGTAACTGTGCCCTGCAATTGCTCCTGCTATAAGGAAACTTCCTGCTTAGTTTTTTTATCCCCAGGCAGAAGAGTGATAGCGCTAAGAAACATGAAGGAGTAGAAGAAGCCACCAAGTCCGCCCCCTTCTCTCCTGGTAAAAGTTCACTGGTAGATAAGCTCTGCCCTGGTTTAAGCCTCTTTTGCCCTCAGTGACGCCTTTTCAGTCCTACACCGAAGGTTATCATGCATACACTGTGGCAAGCAAAGCAGAGCAGGGTGGCTGAGATTCGCTTTGGTTTCTGCTGCAGTGAGGACAGTAATGTCACCTCATATGCAACAGTCTCTTCAACCATCCCAGCCACTCACCAAGTGGGCATCAGTCCATGAGAGTCATGCCCAACTTCAAAACACCGCAAGACCGCCCTGCAGATTTACACTACAGAGGATGAGGCCTGATCCTGACCTTAGAGCAGTGCAAAAGGCTTTTGCGTGAGGACAAAGGATGTGCTCAGGAGAGCAAACCTGGAAGGATTGGAGGGAAGGAGAAAGCTGTGAAAGCAGGTCAGAATCTGGTTTTTGACTCATTAGAGTCCAAGA